GGGCGCTGGTGTTTTGATGGCCAATGTGCTTTTCCCTAAGGCCAACTGTATCAGTTGCCGCCATCTCTCTGCTTAGATCCTGTCACCAGATGTGTGTAGTCCTTCTTTGGGGGTTAGGTTGGCAGGACTGAGTCTTGCTTCTTCCTCTTCTGGACTAGAGGACCCACCGTTAGTGGGTGAAATTGATTCTGATATTTATTACCGTTTGGACTGAGGGTTAAAACCAGCGCCTTGGCAACAGAAGACAAGGCAGGAGTTTCTCGGGGATCCCGGGCCCGGAAACAAACACAACCTTGTTCTCTCATTAACTTCACTGGCCCCAGGCTCCCTTGTTGAAAGAGCCCGTTGGTCACTGATTGATCCCTGAGGCTGTGCCCTCCGGGGTACACATGGCAGGGCCCACCGCCATGCGGCTAAGCTCAGTGTTGGCCCTGCTGCGACCGGCACTGCCTCTCATCCTGGGGCTGTCTCTGGGATGCAGCCTGAGCCTCTTGCGGGTGTCCTGGATCCAGGGGGAGGGGGACGATCCCTGCGTAGAGGCTGTGGGGGAAGCCGGAGGGCCACAGAGTCTAGACTCAAGAACTCAGCTTGACCAAAGCGATGAAGACTTCAAACCCCGGATTGTCCCCTACTACAGGGATCCCAACAAGCCCTACAAGAAGGTGCTCAGGTGAGAGTTAACGTGCGCGTATGTGCATCGTCCCCACACCCCACTTCAGGGTTGCTCCGAGTCCTTGCCTCCATGTCCTATCCATGGTCACTGGTAATCGTTGTTATCCTCCCTGGAGCAGTTCTCTGCTTTATTTTCCATCATGGTTCCAGTTTTTTTTCCTCCTCCTCAGGCCTGAGAAAGCCTCACCCATTGGTGTTAAGTTAGTGGTCGGATGTTCTTCGACAGGGCAGGAGTTGCATCTAATCCATCCTGGGTCCACCTCTCCCCGAGATCAGTTCCAGTGTCAGCTACTCAGTGGACGCTCTCTCCAGTAGCTCATTAGTGTTGATGAGGAGGTCTCCCCCTTCTCTTGTCTCAACTCCGACTCGCTAATTCCTGGGGGGAGGTATATGCTGGACACGCTGGGTTCCTAAAGATTAGGGAGTTGACCCTGGCATGCTGGTCTCCTCCCAGGACTCGGTACATCCAGACGGAGCTGGGCTCTCGCGAGCGGTTGCTGGTGGCTGTCCTGACCTCCCGGGCCACACTGTCCACTCTGGCTGTGGCTGTGAACCGCACGGTGGCCCACCACTTCCCCCGGTTGCTCTACTTCACTGGGCAGCGAGGGGCCCGGACCCCAGCAGGGATGCAGGTGGTGTCTCATGGGGACGAACGGCCAGCCTGGCTCATGTCCGAGACCCTGCGCCATCTTCACACACACTTCGGGGCCGACTACGACTGGTTCTTCATCATGCAGGACGACACGTATGTGCAGGCCCCCCGCCTGGCGGCCCTGGCCGGCCACCTCAGCATCAACCAGGACCTGTACCTGGGCCGGGCGGAGGAGTTCATCGGCGCTGGCGAGCAGGCCCGGTACTGCCACGGGGGCTTTGGCTACCTGTTGTCACGGAGCCTCCTGCTTCGGCTGCGGCCACATCTGGATGGCTGCCGCGGAGACATTCTCAGTGCCCGTCCTGACGAGTGGCTCGGCCGCTGCCTCATTGACTCTCTGGGCATCGGCTGTGTCTCTCAACACCAGGTGACAGCCCTTTCAAGTTAGTCCCCATCCCCGACAAATTAGCAGGGACCCAGCGGCTGGTCTCGAGGTGGGGGGCTGCTGGCCCTTTCCCAGCAGTTCCTGGGGTGGTCGTTGTGCCTTCCCCAGCCCCAGTCACCCATCTCGCTCTCCCTTGCCCCCCTCTGGCAGTCTTAGATTCCCCAGGTCCATCAAAAGTGGCATCTTGTCAGGGACCGTCTGAGCAAGCCTGAAAGATGTCCCTTCCTCACCAGTCTCCTCCTGTCTGGCCCCTCGTGCTCTGCCCTCCCCCCAGCACTTGCGCCGTCTCCAGTGACCTGGGAGTGCCCTGGAGGGGACCGCTCTCCTGGAGGAGGGGGGTGGCCCGGGAGCCTCCCTGTTGGTTGGAGAAGAGGGGACTGTCCCAGAGGGGCCCTCCTCTTCCCCGACCTAGCGGAGTCCTGGCAGTCTCTGCTGGCTCTCGGCTTTCATTCTTGTGAGAAACATCAGGATTCTTTGGGGGCGAGGTCATCCTAGTTGCCTAGCGAGCTCTCTTTTTCCCAAATCCAGTGTGAGAGTAAGGCGAAGGTTGAGGGGACCCCAGAATGAGCTCCTATGCCCTCCCCGCCTCGGCGGCAGTAGCAGTGAGAGGCGTGAGCGCCAAGGGCAGTTGAGGGTAGTCGGGCCCAGGCAGCTCCTCCCTATGTGGCACTGATTGGTCTCATGGTCCTCCAGGGGCAGCAGTATCGCTCGTTTGAACTGGCCAAAAATAGGGACCCCGAGACGGAGAGGAGCTCAGCTTTCCTGAGTGCCTTCGCGGTCCACCCTGTCTCCGAGGGGACCCTCATGTACCGGCTCCACAAGCGCTTCAGTGCTCTGGAGCTGGAGCGGGCCTACAGCGAAATAGAACAGCTGCAGGTGAGCCGGGGCCCGGGGTTGCAGGTCAGAGGGCACTTCAGACATCCGGGCTCACAGATGAGCAAGAGGGGAGGCTGGGCGAGGCAGGAGGCGGCTGACTGTACTGACCCAACCTTAGTGAGAAGCACCCCAGGGAGAAGGGGCTCCGGGTGCCCTGGGTGAAAGCTCCCAGCACGATGTGGGTGCACTTGAGAGGATCTGCAGGAGACCTCTGAGGAGCGGGCTTGGCACCAGAAGGGCTTCTCTCCTCTCCAGTAGTGCCTCTCCACTGAGGGGGCCGAGACCCCGCAGTCCCGGACTTCTAGCACTGTCTTTAAAACGCCCAAGGGCAGAAGGTAGAAGAATTCTCTGGTTGATGGCAGGGGGTTGTCCGAGGTGGGATCCAGGTGAAAACAAAGGTCTCCTGTGAAGAGAGTGAGTCCTGTGAGTGGGGAAGAGAAAGGCCGCGGAGCCCCAGATGTCAGGGTCCTCTACCCTCCACGGCAGCACTCTGCCCAGCCCGTCCGCCTCTCCACAGCAGCTGTGTGCGGATGGCGGGTCTGTGTGCCCTTACAGACGGGCTGTCAAGTACAGGCCGTTCAGTGCCAGGCCTCACTGAGTGTGGATGGAGTCAGGACGGACCTCAGAACCCAGGACGCTGGAGCGGGCTGGGGTCCCGATTCCCTCGCCAGGCACTAACGGGGCGTCCCTCCCGCCCTAGGCTCAGATCCGGAACCTGACCGCGCTGACCCCTGAGGGGGAGGCGGGGCTGAGCTGGCCCCTCGGGCTCCCCGCCCCCTTCACGCCGCACTCTCGTTTTGAGGTGCTGGGCTGGGACTACTTCACAGAACAGCACACCTTCTCCTGCGCAGACGGGGCCCCCAAGTGCCCCCTTCAAGGGGCGAGCAGGGCAGACGTGGGCGACGCTGTGGAGACGGCCCTGGAACAGCTGAACCGGCGCTACCAGCCCCGCCTGCGCTTCCAGAAGCAGCGGCTGCTCAACGGCTACCGGCGCTTTGACCCGGCGCGGGGCATGGAGTACACGCTGGACCTACTGCTGGAGGCCGTGACGCAGCGCGGGCACCGGCGGGCACTGGCGCGTAGGGTCAGCCTCCTGCGGCCGCTGAGCCGCGTGGAGATCCTCCCCATGCCCTACGTCACCGAGGCCACGCGCGTGCAGCTCGTGCTGCCGCTGCCGGCTACCGAGGCCGCTGTCGCCCCCGCGTTCCTGGAGGCCTTTGCAGCCGGGGTCCTGGAGCCCCGAGAGCACGCCTTACTCACCCTGTTGCTGGTCTACGGGCCGCGGGAAGGGGGCCGAGGGGCCCCAGACCCGTTCCTCGGGGTGAAGGCGGCAGCGGCTGAGCTGGAGCGACGGTACCCGGGGACGAGGCTGGCCTGGCTCGCCGTGCGAGCGGAGGCGCCTTCTCAGGTGCGGCTCATGGATGTGGTCTCCAAGAAGCACCCCGTGGACACGCTCTTCTTCCTCACCACCGTGTGGACCAGGCCGGGGCCCGAGGTCCTCAACCGCTGCCGCATGAACGCCATCTCCGGCTGGCAGGCCTTCTTTCCAGTCCACTTCCAGGAATACAACCCCGCCCTGGTACCACAGAGACCACCCCCGGGGGCTGGCCCCGATCCCCCGTCCCCTCCGGGTGCGGACCCCGCCCGGGGGGCTGCCGGAGGAGGCAGGTTTGACCGGCAGGCTTCGGCAGAGGGCTGCTTCTACAACGCGGACTACCTCGCGGCCCGAGCCCGGCTGGCTGCCGAACTGGCAGGCCAGGAAGAGGAGGAAGCCCTGGAGGGGCTGGAGGTGATGGATGTTTTCCTCCGGTTCTCAGGGCTCCACCTTTTCCGGGCCGTGGAGCCAGGGCTGGTGCAAAAGTTCTCCCTGCGGGACTGCAGCCCTCGGCTCAGTGAGGAACTCTACCACCGCTGCCGCCTCAGCAACCTGGAGGGGCTGGGGGGCCGCGCGCAGCTGGCCATGGCCCTGTTCGAGCAGGAGCAGGCCAACAGCACCTAGCGTGCCCGGGGCCCCGCACCTCCACAGCGCCCCTGCCGGCCCCGCCCGGGAAGGCCAGGCAAGATGCACGGACAGATGGGAGAGCTCTCCGCTGTTGTTTTTTTTTAAATAAGAAAAATGTTATTAAAAGTGTCTTCTGCCAAACTGTTTTTAGGTCTAGGAAAAATGGGAGTAAGGAGACTCTGAGGGAGGGGGTGGGGAGCTTCCCAGAGGGACCCACTGCCCTCTCCCCCCGCCCACCCTCCCCCTCCTGCCCCAGTTGCCAATGACCACACGGCTGTTATCAGGTAAATAACCTTTAATCCAGCCCCTGCCTCGCCCACAAGGCGTCGGGGGGGGGGGGGTGATGGCCAGGCCCGAGGGGATGGGCCGGGGCAGGGCCGGGTGGCCCCCTGCAGCTCGCGTCCCCAGCGCGCCTAGGTGTTGCGTACGACCAGCGACTGCTCCAGCTCCTGCCTGCGCTGTTGGATCTGTAGAGAAATGAGCAGGTGCAGGTGACGAGTTGCTGGTGAGTGACCGGATGGGCCCCACCCACCTGGAGGAGCATCTGGGAGCAGGGAAAGCTCCACGTGGCGAGGGGGAGGGTGGGGGGTTTCTCTGGGGGTGACCGGGGAGCTGGAGGCGCCGGGGCGGGGGTCCCACACCTTGCAATAGAAGTAGCGGCTGACGGCCTCCTGGGACCAAGGCTGGTGGTAGAATTCAGCCCGGCGCTCCTCCTCGGGGTTGCCTGCCACGTCTGTCATCACCTGGGAGGGGGCAGCGGTGTCAGCCCCGAGCCTGGACACCCCCGCATGACATTCACTGTCTCCCCGGCATGCTTGTCTCCTCCTCAGCGCTCCTCTGGAGGCCCCCTTCACCTTGAGGTCCCGGCTCTGGGAGCGGAGGAGGTCCTGGATGTAGCCCTTGGGGTCTCTGGAGAAGCTCAGCATGAAGTCCCTCTGGATCTTGAGCTGGTTGATGGACTCAATCGTCTCGTGGATCTGCAGGTAGAAAGACACGTGCTCTCACCCGGCCAGGCTGCGGTGGGAGAAGCGGGGAGGGGGCGGGGCGGGGGGCCGCCGCTGTCCCCTGGAAGGGCCGTCCGCGGAAAGGGGGCGTGGGCAGGGCCACCCCCCCTTCCTCTCCCACGTCCTCGTCCTGCTGTGTCTGCACGTGTGTCACTGTGGGGTCACCGTCCCGTTGCAGCACCGCGCTCCGGCCCCACCTTACTGTCCAGAGCGCTGATCTCCTGCTGGTTGGCCGTAGACAGCAGGAAGCTGCTCATCTGTCCCTTCAGGGGTTCCTCCACCTCCACGTCAATGTCGTAGCATGCCGTCTTCTTCTGGTCCGATGGGTCCACGCTGCCAGGGAAGGCCAGCCCTTGGCGTCCGTGCTGCCCCGACGGAGGCCAAGGGCCTCCCAGGCCTGATGCGGGCGGGCGGGCAGACGGGCGGGCGGGGGGTGGGCAGAGGGAGGGACGGGGTAGGGGGCAGGACCACCACAGTGACTCCCAGCTCTGAGGAGCAGTGGGGGGAGCCCCACCTGATGACGTGGTTGATGACAATTGGGTCAGGGGGCAGCAGAAGGGCTGTGAGGCGCTGGGGAATCTCAGAAAACTTCAGCCGGGGACAGTCAAAAATCTGCAGTAGGAGAGAAGAGGGTCCCTCCTCTGCGCTCGAAAGAGCCTTCGTTCTGAAAAGACCCCCCGAGCAGCCAACTCTCATGGGGCCACGGCCAGGAGGCGGGGGCCGGCCCTGGGCCTGAGGCCTGCTTCCACCACTAATGGCGCAACCCCGAGCCGCTCAACTTCACACCTCGGCCTCGGTCTCTCCGTCTCTGGGAGCCAAAGGCAGGGGCACCGATCTCAGGGGGCTTATTAGAATTAAATGCATCAGTTACACACGAAGTGCCTGAAGCAGCGCCTGGCACACGGTGAGTGCTCAATAAACATCGACTGTTGTTTTCACCGCTCAAGTCTACCTGTGGAATTTATTTTAAAGTTATTATTAATTAATAATCTCTAGTTTGGTAGAATCACTTTCACAGCAGTTTGATTCTCCTAACTGCCCAGTGGGTGAGAAGGGACAGGTGTGGTGAAGGTAAGGAGCAAGGCTCCAGACAGCTAAGTGACGGACCCGGTGTCTGGACCCAGGGCTAGAATCTGGGGGCCCTAACTCCAGGTGCCAAGAACATGTTCCCTAGAGCCGCTGGCTTTCTGGGGTTCCCGATCTGCTGGGTTGGCAGCACAGGGCGGTGTCGTGGCAGAGCAGGGATGAGAAGCCCAGTCTCTGGCTCCAAGATTATTCCCAACGGAGTCAGGGAGGGAGGGTGGTGTTCCTGAGCAGAGGCCCTTCCCCTCCCCGTGGCCCCAGGCTTGGGGGAGAGGGTACCTGCTGGAAATACTTGTCGCCGTTGATGTACTCCTTGTCGTGGGAGTCCTGCAGCCGGTTGGTCTTCACGTACTGCCACAGGGCCTGGACGATGGCCGAGCGGCTCTGCGTGTGCAAGCCCAGCAGCCGGGCCAGGCGGGGGTCCAGTTTGAACTGGGGAGGCTGGGCCAAGGAGGCCGTGAGAAAGTGAGACAAAAAGAGAGCAGGAGGGGCTCGGGACTTGGGGGCTGCGGGGCCTGGGCTCCTTGGAAACAAGCTTCTGGAGCAGGCAGGGTAGAGGGGAGAACGGGGCATCCCGGTGCACAGCTTGCAGGCCAGGCCCACCCCGGCTAGAAGGGTATGGGAAGTGGGATGCTGGGGGGGGTGTGCGGTGTCTGGGTGTGGGGGCACGCACCTGGTAGTCCAGCATGAGAAGCAGCGTGCAGCGTACACTCAGGTCCCCCGGCCTCTTCACCTGGAACCCGTCCGTCTCCTGAGTGGTGGGTGTCCGGTGCCACTGTCCAGGGGTGAGAGCTGAGTCACCCCACAGGCCCATCTGAGCTGGTTGGGGCCTTGAAGCTCTGGGTGCAGGACTCAGGCTGGGGGAGGGGGTCCCTGATCCAAGTCTGCGCTGCTAACAGGACTGCATTCTAGGTTCTTCCAGGACCGTGGTCTGTGGCCAGTTCAAGGGCAGGAGGGGTCGGGGTCTTACCTCCACGAGGTGGTTGTCAGGGCCATAAAGGTCTTTGTCCAGCTCAATGACCAAGCTCTTGAAGAAGGAAGAGAACTTCCGCTTCTGCTTGCTGGGCTGTGGGAGAGGTATGGACCGTGGGCGCGGATCAGGGCCCACGGGGGCGGAGTGAGTTGGGAGCGGGTGGGGGCTGGCCGGGTAGGGCCGCACATTCAGAAGCAGGCCTGGGCATGTCTCTCTGGACCACCCTCCTACAGCCAGGGCTGACTTCCCCAGCCCTCGGTGCACACGTCCAGTACCGGCCTCAGCTCAGCCCCATACCCACCCCAGGACACCTGGAGAGACCTGGGGCAGGACGTACGTCATCCAGGAGCTTCCCCTCCACCCGCAGCTCCCAGGAGGCAATGCTGCCATCAGAATCCTCGGCATCGGGCTTCGCAGGGTTAAAAGTATTGGAGATATAAAGACGCAGCTTGCGCTTTTGCTGTAGAGATAAAGAGTGTCATACAGGGCCAGTCCCCGGGGGCCAGCCCAGGCTTCTCCCATTTAGGGACTAGGACTTGGCACCTTGCCCGGCCCCCAAGCCAAGGCACCTTCATGGGCCGCTTCAGAGCCTCCTGGATGTCCACCCGCTTCCTCATGATGGTCTGATCCAGTTTCCTCTCAAATGCCAGGAGGTCCATGTAAGCCTGGGACTCCGGGACCAGCTCCCGGATCTGAAAGCGGGGAGGAAGTGAGGCAGGGAACCAGGGGCTCAGCCAGTCTTGCAGGTTGGAATGTGCGGGTGTTACATGGCCCCAGGAGTGTGGGAGTGTGGTGGGCGGGGAGCTGGCCACATTCAGGGCAGGGAACTTGGACAGTGTGGATGGACCTCAATCCAGCCATGAGGGATGAAAACTGCTGCTCCCACTAGGGAGACCCATGCGTTTCATCACTAGGGGAGGCCACAGCAACCATGCAGGCCAGCAAGTGCTTAGGTCTTCACCTGCTCATCCTGTGCTTTCCCCCGTCACACAGCCTCTGGGTTCCCTGGGGCGTCTGTGAAGTGGTCAGGGGCCCCTAGGGTCCCTGAGACAGGAGATGTCGCGGCTTGGCCCTATGGTGACACCTCACCCAGATACGCTCTGCTCCAGCTGGGGTCTCAGCCGTCCTCTGGACCCAGCTGGGCCTGGGTCCTCTTATGCTGCTGGGCCTTCAGGCCAGCGCTGTTCCCTTCACTCCTCTGCCAGCCTGCGGTCCCCGAGCTCTCAGCCCCTCTTTGTCCCCTGCCTTTACGTTTCTACAGACCGCTGGAATTCAATCTACGGCCCCCCCCAGGCCCAGGATCCTACCCTCTCTGGCTCTGCTTCTCCCCTCTGCCCCACCCCTTCTCCTTCTGGCCCCTGGGGAGCCTCATTTCTTAATTAGCTTTTTAAACAAAAAAGTGAAAGTGACTGTGATGTTGAAGCGCTGCTCCTGAGGGGGGGAGGGGAGGAGGCTGGGGGTGGTGGTGGTGGGGAGCGGGGGGAGAGGAGGGCGGAGCAGCAAAGGGTGGGGGGTGGGGTGGGCTGGGGGCTGCTGTGAAAGGCACTCACCCTTTGAGGGAGGATTTTGTCAGCCATCTTCCTCCTCTTGGCACTGTACATTTTTTAAAGAAAAAACCAGGTTACCATGGCGACAGATCTGGGAGTAACGAGGCCACCTGCTAAATTATCCCGACATCTCAGCCCGCCTGGCTGGGGTTCCCACAGCCCGCTCATCTGCCCGCCCGAGGGGCTACACTGGCCGTCTGTGCCTCTGTCCTCTCACAGGGAGCAGAGGTGACTCCGTCCTTTCTCTAGCCTGGGAGCCCCTTTTCTGCCCCGCCACATCCCCAGGGCCAGAGAAATTAGACTTAGAAGGGGCTCGGAGCAGGGGACTGAAGAAATGTTTGGGGAAAGCTGGGCAGCTGGGAGGACAGAGTGGGGGGATGCACAGAGTGGGGGCGCTTTTTTTCTCTGCTGAGAAGGGGCACACAGTCTAAGGTGGCTGAGCTGGTGGGGAGGGGAGCTGACCCCCATGCCCCCTCCCAGGAGCAGGAAGTGATGGTGTGAAGCTGGGGAGGGCCAGCACCCCAACCACCCTGAGCTAGGAAGGGGACCCTGATGGGCAGGGGGTGCTCATGCCCTTGGACCGCCTGCCAGCAGGGCCCAGGGGCATGCCCACAGGTATCCAGAGAGAGCGGGTACGGATGTTCCCCTCTGGGGTGTGGCCGGTGGGCTGGACCTGGGGTAGCAGCTGGGACTTGGACTCTGCTGGATCCACTAGCCGCTTCTGACTCCCAGGAGCAACCCCAGAAAACCCTTGGCGAGTAGAAATTAGAACCCAACCATAGGGGATGGCTGCATACTGCCCCCGTGTGGTGGTCTCAACCACTGCCCCGTCCCTGGCCAAAAATCTATTCAAGGCTAGACAAGCAGGTTTCACTAAAGGTCTGGTTTGTTTTGAAGAAACTATCTCTGTGAAACTCTCCAGTTGTACATGATAAATCAGGGACTCTGCAAAAGAATGACTCACTTTGCAAAGAATTCCTCATGGGCTTCCTATAAATGGTGAATTTTCCTTGACATGTAAAAAAAAATTTAATAATGAGGTAAAATCCATATTGCACCTTTTATAGGACTCCATCTGGTGTGCAAAAGGAAGCATGTGTGTTTGGCTAAACAGTGAAACCCAGAGGGGTATCTCCCTTGCCAGGCACCAGCAGGGGCTTTTGGGGATGCCACCGGCTGGCTCAGACAAGGAAACAGGCTGGCCCTTGGTGGCTTGGGGTCAGACCAGGTCCAGAAGACAGACCATGGCAACTCCTCAACATTTGAGTGCCTAAGAATCACCAGAGAGCGCCAGGGAGCAGAGACTGCCCACCCACGGGGCAAATCCTAGGCTCTCCCGCCACTGGCTAGGGATTCAGATTAAGAAGACCCCGAGTGGGGCTTTCAAGGAGTCAAGCCAGAGGGGCTTCTGAGGAAGGCGCACTGGACAACCGCGCTAGGAAACAGTCTAAAGCTCGGCCCTGAGCCCTGGTGCCACAGCCCCGCCTCCATCCCCCGAGAACCAGAGCACTGGGGTGCAGAGAGGGACAGAGTAGGTGACAAGAAGGGCGCGACGGTCACCGCCTCTCTCCACGGTGTGGGCACACAAAGGAACCGGTCCAGTGCCCCCTCAGCCCACCTCCTGGGAAGACATCCCACCCGGGACGCCTGCTCCCTGCTGACCCCTCTCCGCCCGGGCTTCCCACCCCGTCCCTGCGGGTCCTGCGTCCGCCCCCTCCGCGCTGGACACCCCCCACCCCCACCCCCGCTTACCTGCGGCTCCGCGCGGGGGCGGTGGGCACCGGCTGGCCCTGGCTCTGGGCCTGGCTCTGGCCGGGCGGGGGCGCTGCTCGCTTGCGGGCGGGCTCCATGCCCGCGGGGGCCAGGCCGGGTCGCACGGCGGGGCTGCCCATGTACGGGGAGCCCGGGGGGCCCATGGGCGCCCCCTGGTGGGGCATCCGGGCTCCAGACGGCATCCCGGGGCGCTGGGGAGGGGGGTCGGGGGGCGTGAAGCAGACACAGGCGCCCGGCGGTCAGAACCAGGGCTCCGGGCTCCAGGCGCGCGGGGCTGCGTCTCCCCGCCAACCCCGAGCCCCCCGGCCCGTGACCCTGCTGCCGACGGCGCGATGCCGAAGGGGCTGGGAGGGGTGGGGAGGGTGGGGAGGGGCGGGGGCGCCGGAACCGTAAGACTTTGGCGGAGGGGGCGGAGGGGGCGGAGGGGGCGGAGGGGGTTGGGGGGGGGCGGAGGGGGTTGGGGGGGGGTGGCTTTGCGTCTCGCTGCAGGAAGCTAACTGAAGCCAGGCAGCTAACTGCACAGGGCATCGCCAGCCTCGGATTTGCGGAAGGTGCCGCGAAGATGAATATTAATGGCGCCTTTCAACCTTTTCAAAGGATGCTCCTATCCACACGCTCCTCTGCAAGACGGACTGAGGGGGCCTTCTATCCCCACTTGACGGATGAGGCAACCGCGGCTCAAGGAGAAAGGCAACCTAGCCAAGGTCGTGCAAGGCCCTTTCCTGAGGGGCCCGGGGTTTGTGCTCTCTCTGCGGCTTTCATTTAGCTCAGGGCTGGGCTCTTTTGCTCCGAACTTCTGCCTCCCGCCTTCCCGTTTGCCTGCTTCCCAGTCCATTTTCAGGGCGGTCCAGCCTTCCCATTTCAACCCACTTTCCTCTCTGGGCCCCTGCTTTTGACCCCTCGGTTCCAGTCCCCGCCCCCTTCCTCTGATTCCCAGCCTCTACCGTCAGGGGCTTGGCTGATTTAGCCCACCCGCATAATTTACTCTCAAGGTGAAGGCTTGGAGGTGGGGCTAGAAGCAGCTTGGGCTGAGGTCAGACCTCACCAGGATTCTCCCATGGTGGGGCGTTGGGGGGGGGGCGGGGGATGAGGCTCAACTGGTGATGGGTGGTCCAGAGGGCTTGGGTAGGTCAAAAGGATGGATATTTTCTCTTATATCCATCTCTCCCTTCCTGTCTGCCTGAATCACCAGAGATGGCCCCATCCTACAGACCACAACTACTCCCCACCCTACCCCAGTGAGGTCAGAAGTCTAGGTTCCCAGGGGGTCACGGGGAGGGAGGTGAGGCAGGTGTGTTCCCTCGCCACTACCCGGATGCTCAGCCATTATATAGAGGACAACCCAGTGCATCGAGTGAAGTGTTCCACAGACTTGTAAAACCTCACTTGTCCCCCAATCCAGAAGAGGATAGGGAGGGCCCAAGGGGCCGTCAAGCGGAGGGTGGCCAGGATGTGGACTGGGACCAGGAGAGCAGGAGGGAGACCAGGGAGCCATGGTTGCAGACCCAGTGCCCCTGTTATACTGTCTGAGCACCACCCACTCCACCCCAGGGGTGCAGCTGCTCCCCAGAGCAGGGGGGTGCCCTGCCCCTGAGCCTGGTGAATCTCCTCTCACTGTCCCCCCCTCCCCTGGTCCCTCCTGCCCTGCGCTGTGTCTAACCCTAACCCCCAGCCAGCCAGCTGTCTCTGCCTGTCGCCGCCTCAGCAGTGAGACCTGCCTGTCCATGTGTCTGCCTCCCCCACCCCACCTGACCCTGTCACTCACACCTCCAGGGTGGTGGCCCAGGATGGAGCCCAGGCCTCAGCCAGCACAGACAGGGCACTGGGAGTGGGGCTCAGGCCACCCAAGAACTGAAGCACTGAGTTGACTTAAAAAAAAAAAAATCCACGTGTATAGCCTCTCTCACTCCTAAATGGGCCTTTTTAAAAGAACACCCCACGCAGCAAGATCAGGACTGGTCACGAGGCTGACCAACATGGGGACCCCTTGGAAGTTAACCCCAAGACCCCTGGGCCTGGAGGACAGGCTGCTTTGGGAAAGCCCCTTTCCTCATCAGCTACTCTCCCATTTAATGAGGCTGGTGGTACTCACGCATCTGCTAAGGAGGCCCTAAGAGGGAGGCCTCCGGAGCCCCTAGAAGGCTGTGCTGGCCACCAGGGATGGATGACCTGCCCGAAGGGCCAACATTCTAGGGGCTTTGGCCTCTCTTCCTGAGAATGTGCCTTCCTTGGGGTCACAACCAAATTTGGCCATAGTAAACCTGACTGCTTCCTTTATGCCCAGCTTCAGCACCGGTGGCCGTCCCAAGTCCTGGAGCCTCTGCCTCTCCTATGCCACAGCCTTTCCAACCCGTCCCCACCCCCTCAGCCCCCCTGGGCTCACTCAGGCTCCCTGTGGGCCTTCTAAACCTGCCCCTTTGGTCTCCAGGCCTCGCGTCCCTGACTCCAGCTCTTCCTTCACACCTTTGAGGCGTTAAGGACATCAGCTTCTGGTGGTGGAGGCTGCCAAGGGATCCTCAGGCCCCTTAACCTGGGGTCTGCCCCTAGAGAGGGCCTCTCTCTGGCCCTGATTGGCAGAGGCCAGGGGCAGAGCCCCAGAGCCCTCCGGCTGGGGATGCAAAGGTGATTCAGCCCCAGAGCTTCCCGCTCACAGGGCCGCCAGGGTCACCTGCTCCTTGCTCCGGAGACACTGTCCCAACGGATGAACAAGCAGCCTAGCGCAGCTATGCCAAGTCCCCCCAACCCCCACTCCCAGGGCAGGGGTAGCACCTGGGCCCCACCAGGAAAAGAAGGGAAGACAACCCATCGGGTTGTCCCCTCAGGGGACCCACCCACTCACCCACTTTGGGGGAGACCGTCCACAAGTTCCACCCCCAAGCCCCAGACAGGAACCCATGCAAATGCCTGCCTTCCCCGCCCCGGGGCACCCATCCCCGGCCAAGCCGCCTGACGACGTGTTCGGGCACCCCCGGGGCGCGCCGGCACGGGGCTGGGGCCGGGCCCGCTGGGCCGCGGCGCTCCCGCTAGAGGGGTGGGGTGGGGTGTGGGGGGAGCGGGAGCCCCCTCCCGGCCCCTCCCGACCTTCCCTCCATTCAGCCCGAGCCAGCTCGCTCGCCCTCCCCCGCTAACTTTTCCCCCACTCACCACCCCATGGACCAGAAACTCAAAAAGTTTGCTTTTCGTGGCTTTGCGCGCCCCTCCGGCAACTTCGTCCGCGGCCATCGGGGTGGGCTCAGCGGCGCCTCTCACTCTCTCTCTCTCTCTCTCTTGCTCTTTCTTTCCCTTTTCTGCCTTTTTTTTTTTTCCTCCAACTCTCCCCTCTGAGTCCTGCTGGGCTCTCTCACACTTCTACTCGAGCGGAGTGGGGAGGGGGCCCCTTCAGGGCTGCCCTGACGGCCCACGGCCCACGCCGCCGCCGCCGCCGCCGCCGCCCGCCCGCCGCCGCGGCTGCCGCATTCCTGCACTGATAAGACAGAAATAGTCCGGCGGCCCGGGGTCCGCCTGTTGACTCGGCGGGGACGGAGAAGCCTGCCTTTCCCAAGCCTCGCCGGGCCCAAACAGCGCAGATAAGCGGGGAGGCTCGCCGGCCAGCGCGGCTCCGGGCCGCTGGGCAGCGGCGCCGCCTGCCCGAGGCCGCCCGAGGGCCGCGGGGAGGCGACGGCGGCGGCGGCGGCGGCGGCGCGGGGAGGGGACGCAAGGGGAGGCGGCCGGGGGGCTCGCCGGCCACCCGGCTTCTCTCGCCGCAAATAGTTTCTCGCTTAGGGAATTCGCCGGCAGGGAACAGGCCGGGAACAGGCCGTTCCAACTTTGCCCCCAAGTGGCTCCTGCCGCATTTCTGAGGCCCTTTTCCCCAGAGACCTGGCAGGCCAAGTAGGGAAACATTTCGCTGGGAAGGAATCCGGGGTGGGTGGAGGGGGTGGTGGTGGGGCGGGGGGGCGGGAGTTGAGCCCGGAGGAGGCCTTTCTCCGGCACCGGGCGGCCGTGGTGGGTGTGCCCCGGAGGCGGTGTGCCCTGCAGTCCACAGATGTGTGCGCCCTTGTCTCACCGCTGAGTGTGTCTGCACCCTGGTGTGGGCACGGCCGGCGGCCGTGGGTGTGGATGTTTACGTGCGTGCACAGATAAATGCCTCTTCTGTGTGCCTCCCTCCACCGGAGCCTCCGGTGCGCGCGCGCGCGCGGGCGCAGGCGCGGGCTCGTGTGTGTGGCTGGACACGGTCTGTGTCTCCCCGCTCCGGGTGTCTATTTCGGGCTATGTGAGTCTTTGTCTCTCTGTGACAAAGTCGGGGCAGTAGGGGAAATTTCGGAGAGAGGGAGGTGGGCCAGGCTCGTGAGAACGGGAAGGGAAGCCGTGGGGTCAGGCAAGGAACTGGGGTGGACGGATGGGTGGGGAGGGGGAGGCCAGCGCGACCTGACAGCTTTGGAATGGGGTGGGGGTGGGGGACCCGCAGGATCCGGGCGCTGGGTATGGTAGGGCCAGCCTCTGGACCCCAAAGAAAGCAGGGGTAGGGGTGGGTCCGTGAGGGAGCCCCAGAAGTGGTGGTATGGAGAGAGCTGGGGTGAAGGAGAGACAGGAAACAGGAGGGGCAAACCCTGCGAGTCCCCAGGCTGGGAGCCCTGGCCCCGCCCACACCCCAGAGGCCACACCCCTCTCCCCGCCTCCGGGAGGAAGCGCCCCAGGGGCTTTGGGACCAGAAAGGGGTCAAGTTTATGCCTCCCGGGGCTGTATTGTCCGTACCCAGGTGAGGGCGGGGCAGGGCCCTGGGGAATTTGCTGTAAATTTTTATTCGAGGCTAGATCCTGAAGACCCAGTGTGACACTCAGAGGGATCCTGACCCTCAACCCTTCAAAAATTCGTCAGAGGTCGGGACCAAAAACCCAGGGAGTGGCTCTGCCTAGGGAGTCGTTTTTTGCCTGCAGCCCGATTTCCTTGGCCCCCTTGTGCTTCTGGCTGTCATTGTCCATTTCAGTACCCGCAGCTGATCCCCTTAGACTAGAGAAGGCATGTGGTCCAGGCAGCTTCTCCTCTACCTTACCAGGGACCTAGAGAGCCCCTTCCTACCACACCTCTACCCAGGCTTCCCCTAGACACACACTCACAGATACTGGGTCCTGGTGGGTGGGGACGGGAGGGTGCTTGCCACTGGCCACAAAGGTGGCTGCTGGTAACCTGGGGAGGTAATGTCTCCAGTCTGCTAACTTCCCAAAACCCCTCTCTCACTCCCATCTCCAAGCCTCTGCTCCCGTTATTCTTTTGCCTGGAATCCCTGAAAATGTTTCTCTACTTGTCCCAATCACATTCATACCTTAAAGCCCATCTGGAGCCCCACCTCCTCCAGGAAGCTTTCCTTGGTTCCACTTCCGTGCACAGATCTTTCTGTTCTGTGAATGCCCATTATCATCTACCCTGGCCATGAAATGGCACTTTGCTGACTAATGTCTCATGTGCCCTGAGTTTCATGTGTGTTATGTAGGGTTTTCCGAATAGGCTGCAGCCCCATGGAATCCGGGGCTGGTCTTCATTGTCCCTCCCATGCCTGCATACAGGGACTAGACCTAACCCACGTCTGCTGACACTCACAACCACCCAGAGCTCAGCGGGCCACTGGACAGAGCTCATCCTCTGCCTCTTACCTGAAGGTGTGAGTCACCTAGGACACCCCACCTCCCAGTGGCTGCTTCTAGCAGGGACACTTTGGAGGTTCTGGGGGACGGGGACAAGGGCAGACACCTCTAGCTTTGGGTAAAGCTCAGAGCTCTCAACTCTTGGGGAGGCCTTTGCGGGGAAGAAGGCACAGGAGGTGGACGGGCACAGTGGGCACACTTGGCATTTGTGAGGGGCTGGTCTTGGTGGTGGGCGAGACTGAGGGAGTTGGTCAGGACAAGGCAGGGATCTGGTGGTACTGAGGGGAGGGTCACTCAAGTCGACAGACCTTCCTGGGCCACCCCAGGCCCAGGGTCTCACCCTGCAGCCCCCTCTTTGAAAGGCATCCTTACCCACACAGAGACAGCAGATATACAGTGCATACGTGTCCCCCGGGGCGCAAGCACCAATGCAAAGGCCAGAGGAACAAGGAGTCACATGAATTTGCACCCACAGGCACAACTCGATCACAATTCTGCCCACTCACAAGGCCCTCACCAGCAGACTGCTTTTACAGGGGCGACCCCAAGTGTGCCCCCACCCCCGGGGTGGGGGCTGCCTTCAGACCAGAAAGCAGAGGCGCCAGTGTGGGTGTCCCGGGGCCAGGACTCCCATCTCACAAAGGCCAGGATCGTCAGGGCTTAGCCCCAGAAGGGCGCTCAGCAAGAGCCACGCCGCCCGCCGGCTCCTGCTTCCTGCCCGGGGTGGGCAGGAGGGCCCCGATTTCAGCGGGCAGGGCGCCCTCCTTCCCGGCTCGACGCAGCCGATCGGCCCAGGCCGCGCTCCGGGCAGGCCGCGCGCGTGTCCGCCCGGAGCCGGAGTCCCCCCTGCCGTCCCCCCATCTCTCCTTCCCTCGCCGAAGCACCACCAGCACCAAATGGCAAAGCGCCTCTCCCCGCGCGCGCGGAGAGATGCGTCGCGGCCGCCGGGACGGGCTCGGCGGCCTCCCCCACTCAACGGCGCCCGAGCGCGGGGGGTGGTGGTGGGGGGGCGGCCGGCGCTGGGGGTGGGTGGGGGTGAGCACGGCCCGGCCCGCGGCCGCCCTCCCTCGCCCTCGCCCGCCCGGGGAACCGGGCAGCGGCGGGAGCCGGCTTGGGCATGCGCACTGCCGCCTCCCTCGCGGTGAAGGTCAGCCCAGGGCCTAGCTGCAGGACTCAAAGGCGGCGTTGCGGGGTGGTGGGGGGGATGCAGCCGAGAGACTTTTAACTCCTTCCCGGCGGGAGGATGGCCACCGAGGCTGGGCTGGGGAGCCCGGAGGGTCCCACCCTCCCGCCTTCCGCGGGGGGTCCCCGCGGCGGGCACACGGCTGGGGGTGGGGCGGAGGGGGCAGGACGGGGAGGAGGGGCAGAATGGAAAGAAGGAGGCTAGGAGAGGAGGGAAGCCGATCGGGAAGGGAGGACGGCAAAGGAGGAACAAAGGAAGCCAGGCTGGAGGGGGAGACCGCGTTCCGCCGCCCCCGTCCCCGTATCCCCAGCAATGAAGGTCTCCTTAGCTCCATGAAATTACCCCCACAGACTGTGTGTGCGTGTGCGTGTGCGAGAGAGAGACAGAGAGATTGAGAGAGAATGAAGTGACACCACTGGATCAGGCTGAGGACCCCTGATTTTTCTGGCCCACCCCTAAACCCAGCTTCCACTTTCTCCACTGGTCACTAAACCAGGGCATGCCAGGGGGGCCGAGGGACAGCTGTGATCCAGCCGACCTGCCGGGCCCAAGTCCCAGGCCCTCAGGAAACTCTGGCCAGACCTCAGGGCCTGGCCCAGTCCCCCAGGGCTGGGCCAAGAGGAGTCTGCACCTTAAGCCCCACCTCTGGTGACCAGGGGCATGGCAGACATAGTCCTCCCCCTCCTCCTGGCTACTCCCCCCAGCCCTTCTGAAGCCAGAGCAGCCTCTCTCCTCCTGCGAGGATGTTTCTGGGCCCAGGACCTGCTCTGCTGCTCTCCAAAGGGGCTGTCCATCTCCATGGGACTTTGTCTTTCTGTGTCGGTTTTGCAAACACACACAAGAGAGACAAATATGATAGAAAGAAGCAAAAAAAAAGAAAAAAGTAGGGTGCCAAGACCATCATGTGACCTTGGGCAAGTCACTGTACTTCCCCGTTCCCTGGGCCTCTGGGGCTCAGAGGGAGGGCCCATCTGGGATTCACAGTGTGTTCCTTCACTCCCCTCAGGGCCACCGTTAATCAGGTCAGGCTTCCCTGGTGGCTCAGATGGTAAAGAATCTGCCTGCAATGCAGGAGATGCGGGTTCGATCCCTGGGTTGGGAAGATCCCCTGGAGAAGAGAATGGCCACCCACTCCCTATTCTTGCCTGGGAAATCCCATGGACAGAGAAGCCTGGGCGGGGCGGGGCGGGGCAGGGCCGGGGAGGGGGGGGCGGGCAGGTTTGGTTCGCGGGGTCTCAAAGAGTTGGACAAAACCGAGCAACTAACACTTCCACTTCCTGTAGCAAAAAGCAAGTCACACTGGCCTGGACCCATTCTGTGAGGATGGGTGGGTGTGTGGGGTGGTGTTTTTCCAGGACCCCGAGGGGTGCTATCACTGCCCCAGCCGGCTCCCACAGCCTCAGGGATACAACCCAGGA